CTGGCACTTTGTGTTTGGAGAACAGCTGGACTTGCCTGCTCTGGGCAGGATAGCTAGGTGCTTTTAGAAGTATCTGGAATCAAGCCAGAAACACTCAAATGGCCCAAGCTGGGGCTGAGGTGATAATCTCCTTGTTAGCTGTCACTTGTCTGTGGGTATTGGAGAGGTGGGGCCCTGGAATTTCCAGTGCTCTCTATTCATGGAGGAAGTGGTTGTGAACAGTGCAGAGTAGTCTTGTAGCTGGACACTAGGAACAGAACTGCTGAGACTTGGGTTCTTGTACAGTCAACGCCTTCCTCTTATGGTTGAGACTCATCATTGGGGTGATTGTTCAGGCAAAGAATGCTTCTTCCACTATAGCTGACAGAGGAAGTCACCTCTTTGCAAGAAAGAAAAGTTTAATATTGTAGCTGGTGAAGCCTTTCAGCCTGGTCACAAAAGCCAATGTAGCTTTGAAGTCCTGGGACATTATGCACACCATCTGAGCCTCTGCATTCTTCTAGTGGAGTGCCCTGGTAACACAGGGCTTCTTTTACCTAAAGCCCTTTCCATTTGGCTTTTTTAAGTTAGGACAAAAGACAGTGGCATTAAGGCAGGAGTGACAGGGCTCCCAGGCCTTGGTGTTCTTCCCTGGCCACCCCCTGGTCAGCCGTGGTCATGGAGGGCTGACTCTTGAGCCTCACACTTGTGGGACTTTATTGCTTGACTGACAGCAGAGAAAGGCAGGGTTTCTCTGTCTGTTCAGAGAAGGGTCAAGGTCTGGGATTCTTCTGTAGTTGGGTCTTGAAGGCTGGGCCCGTGGGTTAATTTTCAGTGCTTTTCCCTGTGTCAGACATTGCCCCAAGTATGTTACAATTTGGACTTTGTAGCCAGGCTGCTAGAGAGGAAAGACTCACTCCCACTTTACTTCACAGATGGAATCAGAAGCAAAGGCTGGTTAAGCCACTTCTCCAAGGACATAGGTAAAGGGCAACTGAGTGGAAATTCTATTTCATGTCATTGGCCTCCAGTGAGGTCTTGCTGTGACCAAGGGCAAAAGTGACCTGTAGCCAGGACCTGGTCCTCTGATGTATCTGTTTAGCTCCATGGTGCTTTTTTTCACTTATTTACTTTCTACTGAGTTAGCTGACAGCACTAAAGGTCAGGAAATTGTACATAAAATATCTTATTTTCAATCACTTGACAAATCTCAAGTTCTGAGGCTCTGATCCAGAGTTCCTATGAGAGCCATCATCTGAAAGTAAGATACCAAGGTCAGGGCTACTCAGTGTACCCTGAGCCCAGGCCTCTGTGCTCTTTTCATAATATGTGTCTACTCCACTCTTCTCTCTCCATGTGCCTTATTCCTTTCCCAGGCCTCCCGGCCTGTTCTTTCCTGGTATTTCAGACCCACTAAGATGGGTGTGTAGGAATAGCTATAGGGCACTGACCTCTTCTAGAATTCCCTTTGTCTTTAGTTTAACATATTGGTCTAAAGTTGAACAGATTAGATGTTGAATCTTTGGCAGATTTATTTTAGTGCCTTAAAATTTCCCAATCCCAAGGATTACCAGAGTGTAAGTATCTGCTGAAAACGTAAGTGAGGTGCTGGCATATGTTAGACTCTTGTTGATGTATTGAATATGACTTATCCAGAAGCTCAGAAATTCGTGGTCCCCTTTTTAAGTGCTTTACTCATTCAGTTTTACTGTCCATCTAAGGACTATAGAGATGGTACAGTTCTTACCTAAAAGGTTTAAACAAAAATGTTTTATAAAGTTATGGCTCTCCAAAAAATAATTTACAAGAGAGTGTATATGCGCATGGAGAAGGCCATGGAAATTCTTGTGGTGGGCAGAGAAGAATGCTAAATTTTACTGTTACATACAGTAAATACTGTTACATACAGCTTTGGATTGTTTGACTTAGCACATGTGGAGTTTTCTGTGTGTGTTTTAAATTGTTTAATAAGGTTTAATATAGTTGCACTGGGAAGTTCTAGTAAAGATTCATTAGAATGTCATTCTCAATATCCTTTGAAGCCCTCTGGACAGAGTGTAGGAAGGAGCACAAGCATTTTTCTAGACAGAGCAGGGCATCCAGCTGGGGTGACACTTGTGCTGAAGAGGATGTTCAGTAGCAAGGTCTCCTCCAGCAGTGTTAGCAGATGTTTCGTTCACATTGGGACTATAGGAATGTCTTCAAGAGTTTAAGAGAGGGCAGAATTCGTGATCACTCTGAGACATCTATGGAAAAACAAAGGTACCAGAAGTTAGGCAGAGAGTATACTACTTAGGGGTGCCACAGAGCTGGAAAGGAAAAGACTAGCCAGTTCAGAAGAAGTACAGTGTGAGCCACAAGCATGAGCCACATATGTGACTTAACTGTTCCTGGTTAGCCACATTAACATAGGTAAAGAAGAAACTATTGGAATGCTTGTGTGTGTGTGTGTGTGTGTGTGGTGCGCGCGAGCGCGTGCACGTGCACATGTGTGCACGTGTGCGCATGCATGCACGGATATGTGCACTGGTCCTGAGCTTGAACTGCGGGCTTGGGAACTGTCCCTGAGCTCTTATGCTGTCAAGGCTTGCACTCTACCACTTAAACCACAACTCCACTTTCAGCTTTTTGGTGATTAATTGGAGATAAGAATCTCATGGACTTTCCTGCTGGTTTTGAACCATGATCCTCAGATCTCAGTTTCCCATATAGCTACAATTACAGATTTAAGCCAATGGCTCCTGACTTGGAATGAATTTTAATGATATACTGAACTCATTTTATCTGAAATATTATCATTTCAACATGTAAGCAGTATGTAAAATGATTAGATACTTGGCATTAATTTTTTTTATTGTGAAAATACCGTACAGAGGAGTTACAGTTACATGGGCAAGGTAATGAGTACAAGCATTGTTGCCTCCTCCTTTGTTTCCCCTTCCTATCCCTTCCCATCCCTCCCCCCACTTGGCATTAATTTTTAAGCCAAGGTACATTTTTAACTTTTAAATCTCAGATTGCATGATCCACATTGCAAGTACTCATTGGCCACCGATGGCTGAATCAGGAAAAGGAAATGTCTTTGAAATGTTTGCTAGATTAGGAAGCCATCTCCCCTCCTATAATTTTCATGCATCTGTCTTTGAAACAGGTGGTCTCCCTCTTCTGGATAGTGTTGGCAGTGCATGTGTATCAGGATGGAGGTGGAGGGGGTGGCTGCTGCAGCTGAGAAGCCTACATGAATCCTTAAACCAAAATTGTACCAGAGGGGTTTTACCTGAGTGAGGTTGATAGGGGCGTTTTAATTTATTTTGACTTGATAGTACTGAGAATTTTCTCTAGTATGTATAAGTTTATCATTACAATTATGCACACACATGTAATTCAATGAAATAAAGGTTGTATGCTCCTCTACAGTTCTCATTTTCATGGCACCCATGAACTTCTTGGCCTTTAATGTCAACGTGGTTATGTAATTTCCCGAGCTTCATCCAAGTAAGAAGGCATAAAATAAAGGTGCTCATAGCAAACAGCTCGCCCACATACTACTTCCTCCTTATTAAGGTATCATTCTAAGTGCTTCAGTGTAATGAAAATATTGTGACTGCTAAGTAAAAATATTGTGACAAATCAGAGAACCAGGGTTGCTATGGAAATGTTCCCCACAGATCCTCTTCAGGTGGGATCTGTTGAAGGTGTGGTCCAGGATGCTGTTTTCAGTGAACAACACCATGTCTAGCTTGTTTTCTTTGTTTTGCCTCATTTTTCACTTGCATTTTTCAAATGTGGGGAAGATGTGGGACTCTGCAGAGAATTGCCTAGGCATTTTGGGCAGTTCATCCTTTCTTACCTTCAAGGCTCAGTGCAGCTACATTCAGTACAAAATTGTGTGCATGTGTGTGTGTGTGTGTGTGTGTGTGTGCATGTGCCTGCACACAAGCACATGCATGTGCACATGTGTGTGCGGGGCAGAGAAACTAGAAGAGGTAGATTTGCTGAGCACTGAAGGTCATTAGCAAAAGGCTCTGTGTCTTCTAAGCAGTCATTTTTGGACTGAGGAGTAGACAGGTCCATTCTAGAAGAACACAACTAAACTTTTCCTCTTTCTAAATCTCCACTGCTTAAGTTTCATCCAGAGAATGTTAGAAATAGAATGCTTGATCCTGGATGTGTGGAAAACAGCCTTCTGTCCTTCTCTATGGCTTCGGGTGGATGGTTCTGGGTATCTGTATGTCCTGGTCAGTCATGACAATATGACACATAGGGTTACAGAGTTTGGTAATGATGGGAAAATCTTAATGAGTGTTGTATGCTAGGCAAGAACTGGACCATAGCAATTGCTAGAAAAAGAAGGGCAGAAAAATCTTTTGGAAAAGTATACCTTGCTCAGTTCTTGGTAACTAAAAAAAAAAACAAAAGGAGGGGGCAGGCTCTGGTGGCTTACACCTGTACTTTTAGCTACTCAGGAGGTTGAGATCTGAGGACTGAGTTTTGGAACTAACCTGGGCAGAAAAGTCTGTGAGACTTTTATCTCCAGTTAACCAGCAAAAAGCCAGAAATAAAGCTGTGGCTTTATTTGTATAGTGATGGCCTTGAGCAAAAAAGGCCCTGAATAACCCTGGTGTATATATACACATATGTACACACAAAACACACACGAAAGAGAGAGCAAAAAGAACAAAAGAAAAGTGGGCTTTCAGTTAAAAATAGTAGCATAGTGCTTACCCAGAATGTACCAGACTCTGAGTTCTATCTCCAATACTGTCAAAAGGGAAGGAAAAAAAGAGGGGTATTATTCCCAGTCTAGGCTGGGACTTTTCTTTGGGTAAGTTAGGTTAGAAGGATGGGATGGGGTCTTATTGTTGGGCCATTCTCAGGGGCCTGAAGGAGCAAGGGGGCAGTCTGAGCAGGCTCCTTGGCTGGGCAGCAGCAGCTCTGGTGAGGACCCACTCCTGGGTTTTGTTGTCACATCTGTCATTATTTGGGGTATGAATGTAAGATCCTGCTCCTTCCCGCTCTAGGGCCCTCAGTTTCCAACAGCCCTCTCTATCTGCCCTACAATACATTGGTCTCCACGGTCGGAAGCATGGTGTTCAACGAGGGCGAGACCCAGAGGCTCATCGAGATCCTGTCTGAAAAGGCTGGCATCATTCAGGACACTTGGCATAAGGTGGGCCCAGAGGCCACTGCAGTGGGCCAGAGTAGTTTGCCCCCATCTCCTTTTCCTCTTAGAGACGGGTGAGTTGCAGTGATTTGGTGTCCTGGGACTCCCCCCCCCCTCCCCCCGCCCATACACACCTCCCCAGGTAGCATATCATGGATCGTACCCAGCTCGCCAGGCTTCAAAGGAAAATATTCCTACAACAGCCTCCACTTCTTTCCAGAAGAATCCTGCTATTCCCACCCATTCTCAGGACACACAAATCACCGTGCAGACGCTGTGACTCCTGCCATAGTCTGGTCACCCAAACCAGAAGTCTGTTAAGAGACAAGGGGCAGGGGTGGAACTCGGTATTACAAATGCTCCCAGGGGTTGAACACAGAAGCTAGCTCTAGTTGGTTTGTGGCCAGAGCTCCGTGTGGCAGGGATGGTGAAGGAACACAGAGTGTATGTGTGAGGAGACCGTGCGGTGAGCCCTGAAATTCTCTTGGACTTCTCTCCGGCTTACCAGAGGCATGCTCAGAGGCTGGCTTCTCCTTCCAGTGCCCCTGGCCACTGAGCTGCCTTGGGAAGTATACTATGCCAGAGTTCCTTGGGAAGTATACTATGCCAGAGTTCCTTAGCCAGAATTGGGATTGCAGGTAATTTTGCTGGAAAATGAATGGCTAAAGGTGTGAGGGTATCCTGAGAGCCAGGTTGGGGTTTCCTCTCCTGAAGCCTGTGGTAGTCACCCCTCTTCCTTAGCTGCTACATGGTTGTGCAGGGCAGCTTCAGTAATGTTGGGAAACTCCACCCAAGTAAGCATTGGGTAACGGGGTCCCATTGGGCCTGTGTGTTAGTGGGGGTCAGGGTTGATATGTCTATGGTCCCAGCATACTTGTGACTTTGTCCACAGAGTCTAACCTCCCCTCTCCTAGCTCCCATACTGCAACTCTAGTCTGTATACCCTGACTCGAGCTGGTCCTAAAAACTGCCACCAGCAATCCTTCCACACACGGCCTGGGAGCCTCACTCTGGGTGGCTGAGTGGAGTCACTTTCCTCCTTGTGTGTAGTCAGGATGGTGCACTCATCTTGAAGATACCTGCTCCTACTTCAGTAGATACTCAGGCCTCTGCTCTTGCGGTGGAGGTGAGTAAGCCAAGTCTGTTTTCTCTGCTAACATGGCTTTGTGGATGTTTGTAGGCCACTCCAAAGGGTGACCCTGTGGCAATTCTGAAACGCCAGCTAGAAGAGAAAGAAAAGCTGCTGGCCATGGAGCAGGAGGACGCAGCTGTTGCCAAGAGCAAACTAAGGGAACTCAACAAGGTATATAGCCCAAGCCGAGAAGCAAGTGTGTTCAAGGGGTTCGTCAGCCCTTCCCCCTCCTCCCCCATTATCTGAGGACCTCCTTATCCCTGGGGACACTGCTGCTCTTGGATCTTGCTCAGAGCTGGATCAGACAGGCAGCTTTCCCACTAAACTTGCCTGCTAGGCATGTGGCTGTTATCAAGCATCAAAAGTGCCATGATTAGACATGATTTCTGAAGAGCCCAGGGTGGGGTGGGGTTGCTGCTTTGTAGCTATAAGAACACATGTTCCTTGCCTGGTAATGGGGATGGACCAGAACTGGCATTCACTGTCTGGTGCCTTGGTGCCAAGCCATCTTCTTGGGTAATACTACCAGGAAGGAGGATGGACACATTTTGGTCCATGGTTATTTTCTTGAGAGTTGGGGTAGGGGTTGGGTGTGGCTGCTTCTCCCCCCCCCCCCCCTCCCCTTTCTAATACCCTCACCAGATCTAGATGCCTTCCCTCCCCTGTTGAGATAGTAGAACATATTCTTGATTGTGAACTGCAGGACTTAAGTCCTTGACTTTCCCTATCTCACCTTCCAGAGTCTGGCTCTAAAGCAAGGTGAAGTCCGGCCATGGACCTCTGCCTCTAACATCATGCTGCTCCATATAGCTTTAGGAGGTGCTCTTATATTCCCAAATGCCAATCTGATCTAAGAGGACCCTCTTCAAACTCTGCTCCTAGTCTTTAGCCTCTGAGTTCACACCCAAGCACTACTTTCCCCCTGTTCTATCTCTGATCTCTCCCTGTTTTCTTGCATCATTGCCTTCTCTCAGATGTATCCCATCCTTCTTTGCTTCCCCTGGAACTCTTCTCTTAGCCTTACCTGCTCCTCCTGCCTGGGCAATTTCTTTGTATTCTGTAAATTTCAATTTGAAATAGTCTCCATCTTTAAGAAATCCCCTAAGTTCCTGTCCCAGAGAGAGGTCTTTGTTAGGAATATGTGTCACAGACCTGTATCTGGCTCCTGATAGCCGTGAGCCTTGTACAGCAACCATTCCGGCTACCTTGCCTGTCCAGCCCAGCAGGCTGTTTGCAAGCAAGTAGTTCCCCAGGCCTGAAGCTGGCATGCAATTTCATTGGCATTTTATACCACTGTTAAATGTTGATAGTTTATGCATTTGCCCATTTTTTCTTCCTATATCCCTGAAATTATGGCCATTGGTCTCAGAAGTTCTGTCAAGAGTCCTGTGCAGCTGGCATGCCAACTCATTCTTGTATCACATCTAGCTCAGCGTGTTAAGGGAACATATGGGAACATGTGACTGAGCATGTGGAAGTTTCCTGAAATTAACCCCCACTGAAGCCAGTAAGATTATAAATAGGTTGTGTGTTCCATATTCTAATCTCTTCTACATGTTTTCTTTGTTCTTGTAGAGAAGTTTTTTATAGTTGAAAAAAGAGGTTTTGTTTAGATCTTTCTGGGAGTCATGTTTTAAGCATGAATTGCACTTAGAATGTCTGGGTCGTGTGCCGTGTGTGTGTGTGACTCCCGTGGGATGTGGGATGGGATGGGATGATGAAGTCCAGCAGCGCCGAACCCCAAGGGCCAGTACATTTGTAGGAGCTTGTGGACCTGGGTGTCCCTCAGAGCTCCATCCTGATCCTCTGTGCATTCAGGGTCATTGGGCAGACTTAAGGAATCCAGGCCAGGGCTCTAGTATCACAGCCAAGAACTCAACTTTCTAGAAAACCTTTCTAGCTTTATCTAGCCAGGCACCATAGGCTCTGCCACCAGGACCTCAAGACTAGACCTATCCTATACCTCCCTTAATGCCTGAGATTGAAAGTCTGGGAGGAACTTGGGCTCTGACTCAGTGGTTAAGGAGCCATGAGGCCCTCAGGGATGTAAAAGGGTATTCTTGGGGTACTGTGGTAGGAATTATAATTATCAGCCTTAATTGTGGATCCAGGGAAGAGGGTACCACCTTCAGACACACACCAAGCCATGTGGAACCCCACTAAGCCTCTGCCATAGCACCAGAAGAAAAAATGTCTGACCAGAGCCCCAAAGAAGGTACCAAGTCATTTCTGTACCAAGTACTCATGCCAGTTCTGTGCTTCCTTGCCTAGCCAGAGAGAGAAAACCAGGCTTGACCTCTGACCTCCCACCACCATCAGGACTACTTTTCAAAAAAACAAATGTGGCGCTGCCCCCACCTTACCTGCCCTCTTGTCTGATATTTCCTTTAAGGAGATGGCCTCAGAAAAGGCCAAGGCTGCAGCAGGCGAAGCCAAGGTGAAGAAGCAGCTGGTAGCTCGTGAGCAGGAGATCGCGGCTGTGCAGGCACGCATGCAAGCCAGCTACCGGGAGCACGTGAAGGAGGTGCAGCAGCTGCAGGGCAAGGTGAGCCGTGGCTCCTAGCTTGGAGCATAGGGCAGGCTGAGGAAAGTCGAAAGTCCTGGGTGACCAGCGGGCAAGACCTGAGACCGGTGGTAGGGAGGGAAGAGGGAGAGGATACCTATGGGGAGCCTGTAGGACAGAGGTATTGCATTTGGCCAGGTAGTGCCTGGCATCCCACTATGTATGTATTTGATACTGATAACCAAGAAGATATAAAATGTACTAAAGAGTACTTTTTAAAAGTGTATAACCTTAAGTGGCCAGCAGTATATTGCAGCCTCCTAAGTGCTTTAGAGTCAAGTTCTTTTGCTCCACCTGAACCTGGAGTAATGCTGGCTCCACCTTCCCACATGAGGTTGGGAGAATCTCAAAACAAGAGGCCTGAATATTGTAGAGCCCAGCATAGACCTCAGGCCACTTGCCTGTCTGGACTGGCCTTCATTGTCAGAATGTAATGCTTATTTCTGACACCTGACTCTGCTCATTTGGTCCCTGGCTGCCTCCCTCCAGTATGTCTCAGAAGGTAGCATGGACGGTCAAAAGTCAGGAAACGAGTCTTCCTTGCGGTGGTTTGTAGACTGTGATTTTGGTCATGTGCTTTTATCGCAAAACAGTCAGCCCATGTGATCGCAACAACAGACATGTATGAGCATGTCTCAGGCTCTGGGCTGAGTGCTGGGTTGAGCGCAGGCTGAGAGCGGTGAGGAGGAAGATACCTAAAAATTGTGGAGCAGGTGGGAGGATCCTACAGGTTGTAGCCTAGAGGGCAGCGTTCCCTGTATGGTTGAGCAGCACTGTGATGCTCTCCTCAATGACTTTCCAGATCCGAACTCTTCAGGAGCAGCTGGAGAATGGCCCCAACACCCAGCTAGCCCGCCTACAGCAGGAGAACTCTATCCTGAGGGATGCCTTGAACCAGGCTACAAGCCAGGTGGAGAGCAAGTAAGCTGAATGGCCCACACAGAGAGCTTTGGAGCGTATGGGGGCTCCTTGGACTCTCAGGGGGCTATGGCAGACGCATTCTTAATTTCCTGCTCAATATGCAGCTGGTGTAGCATCTGTACATGGGCCCCATGTGTTGAATGGGCCACCTATGCGTCCACTGCTTCCTCATGAAGGGCCTGGTGTGGACCATCTCTTGTGTAGGTTCTGGGCAACTGAATTTTCTGGCAGGTGACCTGATGCACTTCAGGTCAGATCCCTGAAGAAGAGCAGCATTCTCTCTTGAAGCCGAAAGTGGGTCTGAAGCCCTCTCTTGCCAACATGCACAGTGTCTTTTGGGTTAAGCATCCCTCAGACTCTGGCTGGTGCTGGAGTCTCACTGTCCGGCAGAGTGATACTTGCTGCATCCCTGTCTTCATAGAATCCTCCAAGGGGGCTGTTCAACACTCCTCTGTTTGTGGCCAGAGTAGCAATACCAAGCAGTTTGTTTAGAATGAGAGTATGTTGGTGATTTAGGGACCTGCTATGGCCTCAACTTCCATTGGGCACACCATCTCCCCTTATATCCTGTGAGTGAGTAGTCTCCTGGTACCCAGGCTCTTGTTTAGCAGAGTTCCTACTCTTACTTCCTGCCAGCTGAAATGCTAGAGAGTTCATAGCCAGCACCCCAGGTCTGGAGGGCAGTTCTTTGCTTCCAGTGTTCACACTGTCCTCCTGGTCCCTGCTTCCCAATTCTACTGTTGCAGTCTCAGAAAGCTGTCCTCAGGAACCGCGCTGCAACACAGTTGATACCCATCTTTACTGTCTGTTGGCCTAAAATGCCTGCTAGAGTCCTCTTACTCCAAGAGCTCTCATCAAGAGGACTAGCTGATCCCTGACACCTCACCTTATGACCAGATGTTGTATAAGAATGCCTTAGCACCAGAGCTGGGCAGTGAGGGAGGGCTAGGTACAGCATTTTCCTGGATGTGATAGCCACCTTCTCACGGCTGTACCTTCTGTTGAGGTCCTCTCTGCATGTGCATATACATGTCTTTATCTCCTTCCTGATGTTCAGCAGCTAGAGGCTTCCTTTGAAGCCTTTGGCAGAAGGTGATAGGGACTGAGGAATGCTCTGGCCCCCTTTATCATGCAGAATCTGCTGGGGCTCTAAAACCCAAGAACTTGTTGAGCCAAGGTAGTAACCGCTCCCTCCCTTGAGTCTGGATGCCCGTCTAAGTAAGAGGAAGTGCGTAGCACTGCCCTGGGTTTCCTAGGCCCCATCTCTCAGCCCATGTGGTCCTTTCTCTCAGGTCACCTGACTCTTGGTGTGGTAAGCCCTGCCTCTGCTATGTGAAAAGAGCAACTTGCCTTCTTTTTATCTACATTTCCAGTGGTTTTCTTCTCTTTTTTTGTGCTAATACCAGGGTTTGAACTTGAGTTTCATGCTTGCTCAGCTTGTTTGTGCTGCTGGTGTTCTTCCACTTGAGCCCATGCCTCCAGTCCACCTTTTTGATAGAATCTTGCAGACTTTTCTGCCTGGGCAGGCACAGTTATCCAGATCTCAGTTTCCTAAGTAGCTCGGATTACAGGGATGAGCCACCAGCGCCTATCTCCAGTGGTTTCTTAAAGGGGTTCCTCTGGGATGCTTCATTGTACATTCTGCCTTTGCTTTCTCTGGACTATACTGCTAGCAAAATATCTTTGACAATACTGCTCCTATAGTGCAGTAATAGTTCTAAGACTTTTGAATACTTAGAAAACAACAGATGTCTCAGAGGGAGGCACAGGCAGCTGTGCTACCCCCTTCTGTCCATCAGTCAGGGCTGATGACTGTCTTACAGGCAGAATGCTGAGTTGGCAAAGCTCCGGCAGGAACTCAGCAAGGTCAGCAAGGAGCTGGTAGAGAAATCAGAGGCTTCGAGACAGGAGGAGCAGCAGCGGAAGGCTCTGGAAGCCAAGGCAGCCACCTTTGAGAAGCAGGTCCTGCAGCTACAGGTGAGTCAGCACGGTGGCCACCCCAGTATGCCTGCTGGCTGCTTTCTAAGACTGTCTGCCTGGTCATATTGAGTCATCTTTCTTCAAGTCATCTCTTGATGGCTGGAGATGAAAGTAGTGCTGAGATTTGAACCCTCAATCTTAGCCTTGTTAGTACCTAGTGGGTACTTTTTATGTGTTGAGCATCATTATGAGTACTTTCCAAGCATTAACTCAGGTAATTATCATTGTAACTCTCTAAGGGAAGTGGCACTTGCAATTTACCTATAAGGAAAAGAGAAGGCAAACAACTTCCCTAAATTTACATGGCCAGGACATGGCGAAGGCGGATTTGTACCCTCTGAGTCTAGCTCCAATTTACATTTGTCCTCCTACATTGGCCACCACTGCCAGTTCTGCCAGTGAGCTAACTGGCCATAGAAACTGTAGCCTCGGGGCTGGGAAGGTGGCTCAGTGGTAGAACGCTTGCCTTGCATGCATGAGGCCCTGGGTTCGATTCCTCAGCACCACAAAAGCAAAAAAGAAAAAAGCCAGAAGTGGCACTGTGGCTCAAGTGGTAAAGCACTAGCCTTGAGCTGAAGAGCTGAGGGATAGCGCCCAGGCCCAGAGTTCAGGCCCCCCGACCGGAACCAAAAAAAAAAAAAGAAACTGTAGCCTCAAAGCTGTTTCCAAGGGGATATGCCTGTTCTCCTTCAGAGAGGAGACTATCTAGGATGCTTTCCTCAGCCCAGGGGCCTTGTTGATTTCTGACACCCCCACTGGCTCATACCAAAGCAAGTTGACAAAGCTGGGCTCAGGTGGCTCAGGCCTGTATCCTAATTACTCAGGAGGCTGAGATCTGAGGATCACAGTTCAAAGCCAGCCGGGGCAGAAAAGTCTGTGAAACTCGTTTCTCCAACTAACCACCAGAAAACCGGAAGTGGCGTCGTGACTCAAGTGATAGAGCTCTAGCCTTAAGCTGAAGACCTGAGGGACAGCACCCAGGCCCAGAGTTTAAGCCCCACGGCCGACCAAAAAAAAACAAGTTGATCTGGTCTACACCAGTTACCTAAGAGTCCTGCTTCTCTTTTGCATTTGGCCATGATACTAGTACCTGTCCATAGGGTGGCTGTGGGAATAAGCCATGCTGGCACACTCAGACCTAGAACAGGGCCTTGCACAGAAACAAGTTCAGTAAATGTGAACTTTACAGAGACATTCAGGAAATCCAAATGAGGCTGTAGTTTTACTTTAGCCTGTCAAGCTGAAGTCCTTCCTTCATCTTCAGCCACTTCACTGCAAGCCATCTCTCCAGGGACCAGGGTAGGCGAGACTTCCTGTGCTGACCTTAAGTCTAAAACCATTGGCTTCAGGGAGTAGCTCCTCACCTCCAGCCCGGGGCCTTTCTGCCCTTGGGTGGCTTAGTGAGTCTGTGTGGAGGAAATGGCAGAGTTCTCTTTGAGGATCACTTGACCTGGCTTCTTGCTTCAGTGGATAAACTCAGTTTTAGAAATGCAGAGTTTTTCACAGAGGTTCCCAGCACGGGACCAACTTTGAAATAGTTTGATGAGATTGGCAATGCTGACCACCTTCTTCTCGGCAAAAAGAGTTGAGGTCCTCATGTGTTCATGTGCTTTTCACTTAAGATTCTAAGGTTTGAGTTCCCTTCTATTTCCGTATTGTTAGAACCAGTGTTCTAATTAGTGATGGTCAAGGGCATTCTCCATGTAGTCTAAGCTGAATCTCCTTTTTAAAGAAGAAAGAGAAACCACTGGTGCTTTCTCTGGTGGCCGAGTGTCTCTGCCCTTTCTCTTGGTGACAGCAGAGCTGTGAGGGTGTGGAATCCAAGAGAAAGAGGCAGGATCCTGCTGTGGTACCAGGGCAGAGGAGAAGCAGGTCTTCCTAATGCAGTTATTGACAGTTGTTCCTTTCTTTCCTCCCCCAGATAGGGAACTGAGTAGAACCACTGCCACCTTTTAATGCGGAGAAAAACACTCCCCACCCTAAAGCTGTCCATTTTCCCTGCACAGTATCCACAGCCCGGTGGGCACACTCTTAGCAATGGATTCAGTGGCTTCAGACCTACCTCTTCTGTGATGGCTGCTATCATAAAAGTTAGCTGAATAGCAGCCCTTAAAGAGAATGAAAAGTGGGATGTGGGAACGCCACCTTGCTGAAGGAGTAGAGGCATTGCTCAGAGCCTCAGTTTGGTCTCCAGAGTCATCTTTTGACTGGCCCTGCTCACCTAGCCCTGCCTTAGATAAACTTTTGAATTCCATAGTCAGTGATCTAGTCTTTCGGGAAATCAGTCTTTTTCAAAGAGGTTAACAAGCACTTCTTCCCTGGAGCTCAGTGTGTGGGAATACTGGAAATATGGACTAAGACGTCCATTGGAAAATCAATTGGGACCATCAGAGACTGAGTGCAATCTGCCTGCCACTGGGTAGGGAACTGCATGGACATCTGTGCATCAAAGCTCTTGTGGCTCTTAAATCTGCATACTGCTGCAGAAGTCTCCCTGATTCAAATTGAACCCCATGAAATTGCCATTTTTATGGCTTAAACAAGGTGGAACATTGGCAGTTTGATATGGCTGCATCTTTTAAGTCAGAAGTGGAGAACATTTTTTGTCAAGGGTCATTTGGATATTTATAACATCATTCACAAGCCATACAAAATTATCAGTCCAGGCAGACAGATTGTGGGCAGCCAATGAGAAGCATGTGAGAAGCATGTGTCTGTCCTGTCATGTCCTATCAAGTGATTTTTTTGAGGACTGGGAATGTGGCTCAGGTGATAGACCCTTTGTCTCATGTGCTTGAAGCCCTGAGTTCAACTCCCCAGTACTCCCAAGGAAAAAAAAAATCTGGTCAAATGATCAGATGAGGCTGCATGTTCCCTATCTTTTCTTTATGTGAACGATCTAGGAGAACTGCCATATAAGTGATCTTGACCATGGACCTGCTTGTTTGTGTATTGCTGCAAGAGGCCCACCAGACTGACATTTCTGGGGAAAGAGTCAAAAGACCTTCCTGAGGAAACTGCTAGTTTACTTTGAATCACTAATTTTGGACTCAGGCTATACATTTGTATTCACAAATCACCTGAGAATATTAAAATATTAAAACACCCCAGAGAAGTAGGAAAGGAACAATGGAGTAAAATTGTGCAGTTTGAGAGCATTCAGAAATAAGAGATCTTTCTTGAAAGACAAATCAAAGACTACCACACAGGGATTTAGTAGGAAAAGGAAGGCCATGTGAAGAACTTTGGCCTCTTCAACCTCACAGTTGATGAAGGCCCAGTCTCCTCCCTTCCTCACAGCCCTGTTTCATCCCTCCTTCCCCAGACATCTCATAAGGAAAGTGAGGAGGCTCTGCAGAAGCGCCTGGATGAGGTCAGCCAGGAGCTGTGCCGTACACAGACCAGCCATGCCAGCCTCCGAGCAGATGCTGAGAAGGCCCAGGAGCAACAGCAACGGATGGCAGGTGAGGATGGTGTCCCTGCGGTCCCTGTTACCGGAAGGAGCCAGGGGAGTCTGTTCACTGTTGTCCTACCACCAGCACCACGGCACAGTGGGCCAACCCTACCCCTTGGAGAGTTGAAGAGGCTGGGATTCCCTCCCCCGTACCCCCTGCCCCCGTGGGGGCAAGCCAGTAGCAGACTGCCCTCTAGGTGTGCAGAGTGAACATGAAGTAGGGCCGTGAAAGGTCTGCAAAGGCTGGATAGGGCACATGGCGCTGGTGAGAGCCAGTGCCATGGCTTCTGGACTAGCAGTGCCTCCCATAAGGTCAGAATCACAGCAGTGCTTTCTACCCAAAGACTTAAGCTGTGGAGGGACAGATAACTCTATGGAAGGATGGTAGGTGTGGCTTCCAGAGCCCCATGTTTTATTTTATAGCTCCTCAGCTCTGCTGCTGTGGCCAAATGTGGCAACAAACAATGTGGAATGAACCCTCATGGCTGTTCATGACTGTTTAAATGAAGCTTCATTTATTAAAAACAGGCAAGGAGAGGAGCAGCCTGTGGCCCATTTGCTGGTCCCTTCTCTAGAAGGCTAAGTGTGGCTTTAGTCATGGGAGGCTTCTCTGAAGTAGTAGAGAGGATCTCTTAAACCTAGATTCGAATGATGATGGGGTCAGGCCCAGATGGGAGCAAGTGCAGAGCTCTTGAGAAGTGAGTCAGCTTGAGCATGGTCTAAACAAGCAGTGAGGTAAACCAAATGCTAGAACTGAGAGGGCTGTGATTAGCATAGGGCCTAATGGGCAGGGGCTCCCCTTTCCTGTGAGGAGTAGTGTGACAGGAAGGTTTGGGGACCAGGGACAGAACAGTCTCACCTGCACTTCTGGATACTCTCGTCCTGGCTGGAGAACGGACAACAGGGACAGGAGTGGCCCGTAGAGAGCAAGGACAAGGTTCTGCAGTGGTCCAGCCCCAAGCCTCAGGGCTTGGTCCAAGAAGCTGTAGAGGTGGTAATGGGGACAAATTGGCAGAGATGACAAAGGGTGAGAGAAAACAGCAGCCAGGATGAGGACACCTGGGAGGTTGAAATCCTGATTGTGAGTTGCCTGGATACAGCTTCATTTAGAATTTGCAGGCAGCAGAGCCTGGGGTTATGAATAAGACTGGGCCTAGGGGAGAGTGTCACAGGTGCATACCTGAGCCACAAGCAAAGCTGTGGGACATCTAAAATCAACTGAAGAGGAGGGCATTTGGTGAAGAGAAAGGGGCTCAGGAAAGGTCCTGGGTAGGCTTGGTTGACTGGGTCCACATAGTTGCTTAAAGAGTCTCTGGCAACTTGCCCCTACTTACTCTTGGTCTCAGCTGATATGAGGCAGAATGAGCTAGAGAATGAATCTTTAGAAGCTTCAGCATATACCCAACTATAGATCTCCATCATTTTCTTATCAAGGGATCTGTGGGCATTTCATTTTACCTAATGATCCTCAAAAGTGCCATCGCCAGGATATGACTTAGCTTATATTACCCTCAGTACTCATGAGAAGCTCCATTGGCAAGAAGGGGTTCTAAAACCTCATGTGCCTGGGGAGAGGGGCAGCAGCTTGAGCTGTCCGCCCCAGGCCCTGACTTCTCTCTTACTTCCCTTTTGCAACAGAGCTGCACAGCAAATTACAGTCTTCCGAGGGAGAAGTGAAGAGCAAGTGTGAGGAGCTGAGTGATCTCCATGGGCAACTCAAGGAAGCCAGGGCAGAGAATTCACAACTCACAGAGAGGATCCGGTCCATCGAAGCCCTGCTAGAGGCGGGGCAAGCCCAGGATACCCAGGTCAGCCCCTTCCCAGGCTGACAGGAGGGGAGGGAGGACTCCATTGAGCAAAGGGCCTCTTGCCCTGACTAGTAGCTGCACAAGTGAGCCTCATGGAGACCAAGGAGATTTCTGTGTCTCGTTCCAGGCCATCCGAGCTGAGGCCGACCAGCAGCAGACCCGGTAAGCTGGCAAGGTGGAGGGCTGAGGGACTGCTGGGCTCCTGCCCACTCAGTTCAGCCTCAGCACAGAGTGACCCTGGGCCTCTGTGAGCTGGGACATTGATCTGGTTGCTTGAGTTCCCTGGAGGAAGATAACCTTTCAGAAGTCTCTGTCCTATTCCTCTGTCTCCCTAGTGACTTGGAGAAGAGGACAGGTCTGGGTTGGGGGAAGAATGCAGCCTTGCAACGAGTCCTGTTTTAGTCAGTTTTCTATCGCTATTTAACAGACTTTCTTTAGCTAGATATTCCGGGGGGGGAAAAGGATTTAGGGTGAGAAAGTTCCATGTATTTAGCTTGTGGTGAGAGCCTCATGGTGAATGGCCTAATGCTGTGTGCGAAGACGGGAGGTCACATGGCAAGACAGAAAACCAGGGACAGGGAGGGGCCAGGCTTACTCTTTTATAACAACTCACTCAGAGAAACCAACTTACTCAAAAAAAAAACCAAACCAGCATCATTTCCTCCTTGGGACAGCGCCCCCAGTGACTTAACTACTTCTGCCAGGCCTCACCATTTCTTTTTACTGCATGTGCCAGTAAATAGGGCTTGAATGCAGGGCCTGGGCATTGTCTCTCAGCTTTTTTTGCTCAAGGCTGTCATTTTACAAATTGAGCCACAGCCCTACTTCCAGCTTTTTGATGATTTAGTGGAGAGTCTCACAGACTTTCCCGCCTGGGCTGGATTTGAACCACATCCCTTAGATCTCAGCCTCCTGAGTAGCTAGGATTACAGGCGTGATCCACCAGGGCTTGACTCTGTCACTTCTTAATACTACCACATTGAGGAACTAATCTTCCAAAATGCTGAACCACTGAGGGAAAGAGAACGCCCAAAGCACAACAAGCTCTGTGCTCAGTCTCAAAAACCCAAACTCATTTGTGTGGAGGGTGGGAGCTACTTCAACTAGAGCAGATGTCCTGCCACTACTGTTCATCTTTCCCACTGGGGAAGGATTAGCTGGTCAAAGCTTCCTCTGTATTTCCAAAACAAAGGATTTTAGGGACTGAGGCCAGTAGTTCAAATTGGAAGTAGATAGATATGGTCAAGGCTTTCTGCTGCCACCCATATTTGGGATGTTGAAGCAGTTTAGCACTGACTTGATCATGCTATAGGGCTGTTTTTCCCTTGTCTGTGAGTTGACTTCACCACTGACTAGACATTGTTTTCTGTCAGTGTCAGCAGTCCTAGCACGAGGCCCTGTTCAGAGACTATTAGTTTGCTGTTACCTTAGCAACAGAGCTGACACCTGGGTGGGGTGGCTCAAGAGTCCAGAGTCCTTGTGATCATTACCTCTGAGGTAGATGTTCACTGATACTCACACCTCCTGGGTGTGTCCCAGCTACATGTCCCCAAAGCAGCTATGTTGGAGAGGATGTCTTCTATCCTGCTTATGTTTGGTTGTGTCCTAGGCTTTCAACAAACAAGGTTACTTATTCTGGCCATCATTGATGAAGAGTTGTTTATCTTCCCATATGCTTCTCAGCAAATTTTTCTCCTCAGACCACAGCTAGTATCCCCTGGCACCCATTGGGATCTGTGGTTTGGAGACCAGAGGAGGAAACCAGAACTCTCCTCCTTTCCCAGAAGGTGTGGATGTTCATATTTATGAGGGAAAAGAGGCTGAATTCATTTGCTTAATTTTATCTTTCTCTTGCATTTTAAGATTAGACTTTGAAACTGGGCGTGGTGGTGCATACCTGTTGATTCAACTCTTGAGAGGCCAACAAAAGTTCTGAGCCACATAAGACCCTGCATTAAAGAGCAAAGATTAGATTCTTGCACCACACAGCAGATTACTAGCATAATAATTTACATAGCAAATAGGATTGATTTTAATTTTTTGTATCATGCAAAAATATCTGGCAGGAACTGGCTTATATCCTTTTCTGTTTATCTTTTAAGTTGTCTAGACTAGACCACCCTGTTCAGATAGAGAGGAATGGATGATTGAGGTCAGTTCTGTAACTTGGGAGTGACTCCTGGTGTGGGGTGTGGACTATTGTCAGTGTGTTCTTGCCACTGACACATAGACTCCTTCAGGTCTTATTCTGGAGACACTCTGGGGTTGTACACTCCGGAGGTGGCTTGCTGGAGGAGGCTCTTGATTTGAGGGAGATCTTAGGGGTTCTTCCCGCAGAGCTTTGAAGGTAGGGTGAAGGTACCTGTGGTCCTGAAACCAATCAATGTTCAAGCAGTCGGCTAGGGTTTTCAATGAGGGCCACTGAATTCAGGATAAAAATATGAAGCTTGCTCAAGAGTGCTGGTGGCTTACTCCTGTATCCTAACTACCCAGTAGACTGAGATCTGAGGATCTCACTTCAAAACCAGACTGAGGAGGAAGGTCTGTGAGATGCTTATCTCCAGTTAGCCACTAAAAAATGGGAAGTGAACTTGGAGTTCAAATGGTACATTGAGCAAAAAAGCTCAAGGATAGCACCCAGGCCCTGAGTTCACGTGTGTACGTGTGTGTGTGCATGTGTGCGCATAGACACAGACGTGCTGTGCCAGGCTGGAGTCCATCATCAAGGTGGTAAGGATGGCCACCTTGATTGCTAGGCCTGACATTATGGTCAATTAGTGTGCAATAGAAAGGTGGTTTTCAAAAAGGCTTTGACCATGGCTTCCCAGGAGAAACAAGTACATCAGGTCCCCATCTGGCTAGCAGTAGTAGCAGAGCCTTCCTTTACCCGGCTAGTGGCAGCTCCCCCTCATGGGTCTTCTTCCTGAATCTGGGTGACGCTTGGGATTGCTTATTCAAGCCACCATTGGCTACTTCTGGATTTTAGGTTTCATACATCTTCGGACTTCCCTGTCTGTCTTCTAAATCTGAATGCAGAAGGGGGCATGTTAAAGTGTCCATTGGAAATGTTCCAGTTTTCGTACCAGCATCAACCACTCACTGCTCGATGGTGGGGTAGACAAAGCCCAGTGGGTTAGTCCAGATAGGACTAACACTTCACTAATCCCTCAATGGCAGGGGGTTCTCTTGGCTAAGTCCTCAGATCCCAGGAGAGAAGCCTTTGGGTTTCAGAATTAGAAGTTAGTGGCCTCTTGGGAACACGCAAGAGCAGTGGTGCCCTGAGTCCCAGTGAATGAGATGGCAGCATGATTCTTCAGTTGGGGTATCTTCCTAGAAAGCAAAGCCTGGGACAGATGCAGCTGTGGGGAATGGGGAACTCCTTGCAGTGTGAAGTCTCAGGCAGGGCTTGGTGCCCTGGGCAGATGAAGGAGTCCTTTTTGAAATAGAGCCAAGGCTATGACCTTACTATATCCCCCAGACTCAAGGAGCTGGAGTCCCAGGTGTTGTGTCTGGAGAAGGAGGCTGCGGAACTCAAGGAGGCCATGGAGCAGCAGAAAGGGAAGAACAATGTGAGTGATACCACTGAGCTGGGGTGGGAAGAATAGGGTAGGAACAGAGTGAGCTATCAGGGAAGATCTTGAGGACAGGGACCCTGCTATGGAGCCTGCCCCAGATTATCAGATAAAAAGAGGGCCCGGCTTGTTTGCCATACTCTTCCCTTCCTGCCTTGTTTGCTATGGGCTCCCCTCCCTCCTCCAGCCTCGTCCCTCTCCTGCAGACCACTAGTGGCTCCAGTGCACATTGTCCTTGGGGCAGCTTACATCATGCCTCCAAGCATGGTACCATTCCTGGGGGACACAGTGTGCCAGTTGGCCTGGTCTGTGACATGTGGTTACTCTAAGCATGTGAGTATAGGCTCATGCCGGAGAAGGGCCTGGAGGAACTGGACAGGTGACACACTGTCCCTCTCTGTGGAGGCTGGATTGGCCTTGGCCCATCCTCTTCACCTGCCCTGTGACACAGCCAGGGCTTGCTGGCTGCTTCCCTGTAAAGGCAGAAACTTCCCCGGGAGCTTTCCAGGGCCAGAGCCTGTTGGGAGTCCATGCTTGCTGTTCAGCTGCAGGACCCATTTTTTCTCTGAGGATAGAGCCTGAAAAGGTGTTCTCTCTTTCCTCTTGTGCTTTGGCCAGTCCCACATCAGGCTATAGCTCTTTACCTTTGTGTTGAGTGCTGCCCAGGAGAGACCACATGTATGCAGGTCAAGGAAAAGACATTTTTGTCTCTGACCAGAGTAGTGTCAGGGAGGTTCTGGGTCCCACACTTGTTGATAGCAGCTGAGGAGTGTATAGGGGCCCTGTCTGCAATTGGATCCATATGGGCCATTGATATTTCCCTTTTCTCCCCACCCAGGACCTGCGAGAGAAGAACTGGAAGGCAATGGAGGCCCTGGCCTCATCTGAGAGGGCCTGTGAGGAGAAACTACGCTCTCTGACCCAAGCCAAGGTTAGAGCCCTGGCCAGCCTCAGACTGGCACCAATTAGTAGCACCTGCTTGGAAACAGAAAAGACAGCCCTGGCCTCAGAGCATCTCATACATCCACATGGAAATGCTCAGGGCTCAGCATAGTGTTCCCTGGTGCCTGTTTTCTCCTTTCTTTTCTCTCCTGCTTTCCTTCTTTTCTTTCATTTTTCCATGAAATGGAGGAGAGAAGTGTGTGCCCAGGTTTTCTCAGCTGCCCCTGTGTCATAGGAGTAGAAAATGAGTGCAGCCTCAGCTTTGGAGGCTAAAAGGCCAGCCTTCCCGGAGCATGGTGAGCCCAGGGTCAGTTTTGTGTTGTTTTATTCTTGAGGTAATTTGAATGATCATGTTTCCCCTTTGGGCCCTCTGAAATCATTGCTCAGTAGGGGTTCTGCAAGTGATGTTTACAGGACAGCTCAGAGAGCAGGACATCTTTACCAGTGAGCATTTGGGGACTGAAGTGTTTGTGACTCTCATGTGGCATTCTAGGCTTCTGGGATAGCTGGGAGCCACTGTGCAAGTGCTGACCAGGAGCCATGGTCAGCAGCTAGCACCTTCGCCCCTTCTTATCACTCGTTTCGCTCCATTGTGAAAGGTCATTCCCTCCCAGCCTTATTTAGTGGAAGGAATTTCTGTCCTGATGTGGTGAGCTTTGCAGTGGCCCAGTGATCCTCTTGACTCATGAGAATATCCTATGAAGAGCTGGAGATAAGGCAAGAAGAAAGGCTAGCCTTCCACTGTGTGTTAGGGCTGGATTTAATTAGATCTCTATGATTTGTCATCCAAGGGCCTTTGACTCCCATGACTAGAAGGCCTGAGTGGCATCAGAGTCAGAAGTCACAGGTCCTCCGCACACTCAGAGGTCCTGATATGCTCTGTGGGTCACTGGGGGAGGCTCTGCTTCTTAGGTATGAGTCCAAGCCAGGGGTCCTGTGGTCAGGCCAGGTCCATTGTCAGACATACTCCACATAGAATGTTCCAGCTAATGTTCAGTAGTGCCACACTCCCAATAGCTCTATTCCAGTTCCTGATGCCACCCTAAGGTCTCAGGCTGTGCCCTGGGTGAGGCCTGGCTGACAGTGGCTTCCATCTGCTGATGGGAGCTTATTAGATGAAACTTCGTTTTAGGCAAAGTCTCCCTCAGCCATCTCACAAGGTGGAGTGGGTGGGGCGTTCTGGGGTCCTCTGCTTTGCCTAACGGCTCCTTTAGCCCTTCTTGACTGCTTTTCTTTCGTCATGCTTTTGGTGGAGGACACTGGGTTGTTCTTCAAGGAGGTGCAGTACAGGAAGTCAGGCCTGGCAGGACATAGGGAATAGTCAAGCTTTGGAGCGGCATGACCCCAAACAACTTCCCCTGTGTTGTCTGAGTCCGTTTTCTTCCTCTGCCAAGTGGAAATTTGATGCTCCCTCCCTCCAGGGTGGCTGGAGATGAGTCTTCCCAGCTGCTATTCCCATTTGGCAGTGGCTGTAACCAGAGTGGGTGCTGGGGGTGTGGGGTGGGGTACTCTGCCTCTTTGCTTTCAAAATAGTGAAAGCCTCTTCTGCCCAGCTTCTTGCTCTAGCTCCACCCACCTGCTTGGCCCCTACATGTGTGGCCCTGTCAGCTGGCTTGGACAGACAGAAAGAGCTGGGAAAGTGAGAGCTGCTAGAGCCCCAGTTGTTGACGGGAGGTATAAGGCAACTTGCACCTACCACCCAGGACTAAGACCAACCCTACATAGCCCTACCCCACCAGACTGGCTTCTGCTTTGGTTCTTGTCCTTCCCGTGAAGAGTCCTTCCTGGGAGAGAGGTAAATGCCACCCTCTTCCTCTTCTTCACCCCTACAGGAGGAATCAGAAAAGCAGCTCCATCTGACTGAGACCCAGACTAGGGAGGCCTTGCTGGCTCTGCTCCCGGAGCTCTCCATCTCAGCACACCAGGTAGGAGGCAGGGCGGCTCCCCAGGATCCCAAGGCCCCGCCGGAGCAACTCAAGCCCCACTGTGATCACTGTGTATGTTCCTTACAGAATTACGGCGAGTGGCTGCAGGAACTCAAGGAGAAGGGCTCCGAGCTGCTGAAGAAGCCGTTGGCTGCCACAGAACCCTCCTCGGTACGTGAGGCTGCTGGGCAGGGGCCTCGGGCAGGGTGAGCCCTGCACCAAGCTCTCCTTTTCCTAGGAGTGAGGGTACCCACAGTTGTTTCAGCAGGTAGCCGAGGAAAGACTAACCAGACGTGTCCTTCTCTGCCCTCAGGACCTGGCCTCCAAGTTGAGGGAAGCTGAGGAGACCCAGAGCACCCTGCAAGCTGAGTGTGACCAGTACCGTACCATCCTGGCAGAGACGGTCAGCAGTCAGAGATGGGCATTTGTGAACACTGGCTGGGCTTCCCCAGGGGCTGCCATGAAGGAGAGCTGTAGGAGATAAGGCAGGAGATAGTGAGGAATCTCAGCAAAGCTTGCTAACTCTGGGTAGTTTGAGGCAGATTACGTCCCCTGACTGGGCCCCTATTTCTTTAGTTGGATGGTAAGGGGATGGATAGCTTCTCTGATCTTCATTATTTCTGAGCTGAAGAGAAGGCTAAGTTGAAAGTTTATCCTGGTGTCTTACACTGGGGAGAGCCTGGTTACATATGATAAGGAATGATGTGACAAGCAGCCACGAATCAGGCTTGCCTTGGGGTCAGCTTTTGTGTAAAAGTCTTATAGTGATGGAAGTCCTAATGGCCTCATGTGGGTCACACTCCTTTCCCGGCATGGCTCTACATCTAGCACTTGCACAGTGGCCAGATTCTCAGAGCAGGGAGGTGCCAGCAGGTCGCCACGAGGAGCCATGGGGAAGATGCAGTGTGTGATTGTGGAGCTTCTGAGGAAAGAGAGGGTCCATCTCAGTGCTTCTCTAACTCCTAGGAGGGCATGCTCAAAGACCTGCAGAAGAGTGTTGAGGAAGAGGAACAGGTGTGGAAAGCCAAAGTAGGCGCTGCAGAGGAAGAACTCCAGAAGGTATGACAGTTGTGCATACTTCCCCAGGGCTGGCAGAGGCATTGCTGTGGGACACAGAGAAGCCAAACGGACTGTGCTATAAGTACACAGTTGGCTCCAAATTCTACAAAGTCCAGGAGGTTGATGGACAGATGATCTGTCACCTAGGAATCTTGGGTACCATGATTGGTGTTTTGTGGGGGGATGTCCTATAAATCACACTTGTACAATGATAGCTCACTGATCACTAGAGACTCCTCCTCCCATCTCCATTGGAAGAGGCTGCCAAGGTGCCTGGCTCTGCCTGGAGGGGTTGGGTATCCACAGCTGCTTGAATCATCCCAAGATGATTCCCCCAGATCCACATGTCTGACAAGGCCTTTCCCTTGCTTGGTAGTCACGGGTCACAGTGAAACATCTCGAAGACACTGTAGAGAAGCTAAAAGGAGAACTTGAAAACTCAGATCAGGTATGTGGGGGTTGTGCTGAAAGCTGCTTTCTTTTGTCTGTGAGCCTCTTTGAAAGTAACATTACATGGGGGTGCTGGTGGCTCATGCCTGTAATCCTATCTGAGGAACGCGGTTCAAAGCCAGCCCAAGCAGAAAAGTCCCAGTGATAACTCTTATCTCCAACTAAACAGGATTTGGCGCTGTGGGTCAAGTGGTAGAGTACTAGCCTTGAGCACAAAGAAGCTGAAGGACAGTGCCCAGGCCCCGAGTTCAAGCCCCACACTGACCCCTGTCCTCCCCCACCCCCCCCCCAAAAAAAAAGTAACCTTACTCTGACTACTTGAGTCATTTTTTCCCTTTATGGACCATGTCTGAAGAGAAGCTTTTTTCTCCTGAGCAAAGATCTTGTCCTGTTTTCCCTGAATGTAGCATTTGCTACGTCAGTGGCCTGAGACAGCATGAGCCTCTGCAGAATTGCCTATCCCTCTTCAGAATCAGGCTGTGTTTGAGGGGAACTGCTTCTCTTCCAGACACTACAGTGTGCCCCAGCTTTTCAGAGAGTATCTCTGGTACCTGTTTTTGCAAGTACACTTAAGAGCTGCCTTTTCTACAACTCCTCAGGTTTGAGGACATAGCAGGACCCAGCAGTACCAGAGTTTGGGTGCCATCTTCAGTAAGGAGATCTCTTGTCAGGGATTTGTTAGTTATTGGCCTTGGGTTATTCAGTAGCTGAGTGCTCTAGAGCCCTAGCTCGCTAATCCTGGGCCAGCCAGTCTTGACGCTTGTCACTGTACTCCCTGTTGTTAATGCTCCTCTACACGTGTGTGTGTGTGTGTGTGTGTGTGTGTGTGTGTACACCCATGATTTTTCATTATTCAGGTGCGGGAGCATACCTCACTACTGGAGGCAGAGCTGGAGAAGCACATGGCAGCTGCTAGCGCTGAGTGCCAGAACTATGCCAAGGAAGTGGCAGGGGTAAGTCCACCTACCTCAGGAACTCTTGTCCTTGCCCCATATAGCCCCTGACCAGCAGAGCTGGATTTTCTCCAAGGTAGCTCTTTAAAGGACACTGACTTGTCAATGTGAGCAGTGAAGTCTGTTTTCAGGCTTTTTACTTAGAGTCCTGCAGACACTTCACTGAACTGACCTGTCTCAGCAGGTTTCAAAAGGGCAACTCCATGAGTAGGCAGGAGCAGTACTGGTGAGCCTGGCCTGCCCGGGCAGCATTTTACATTCTAGGTTGCCCCCTCAGCAAGGGACGCAGCCTGGCTTGCAGATCCCATTTCTGGGAGGAAACGGATTTAAATCTGTTCCTGTCTTCTAACCATTCAGAAGCAGAAAGCATAAATTCAGTTCTTCCTGCCTTAATCACAAATTTCTGGCCTTTTGCTAGTGAGAAATAACGTACAGTATTTAGGAAGGTTTGACATGGATGTACATAGTCTTCACTGGGGAAATGCTTGCTAGAGGAAGCTCTGTCTGCTCGTGTAATTGTCAGTATTGGAGGTGAATGAACACGTTGAAGCTTATGTTTAGCTGCAAACTCACTGGAACTGGTATTTTCTTCTCTCCTTTTCCACCCAAGTTGAGGCAACTTTTATTAGAATCTCAGTCTCAGTTGGAAGCAGCCAAGAGTGAAGCCCAGAAACAAAGCAGCGAGCTCGCCCTGGTAGGTAGACTTGGTGTCCCTGACAGGGGAGTGTGATGTGGGACTGTGTGTGAGATGAAGTTGCTCGTTGTTTGGATATTCACTCAAAGATTCCACTGTCACCATTAGTCTATGTATGACTGACTCCATGGGGCCTCTTGCATGTTTACCCCAAGTTCTGAGCTGGTCTGTGGCTGCAGTACCAGAATGCTCCATCTCTATTTCCCTCTTCTGGCAGCCTGGTCTCTTGCACAAAGCAGTGGGAAGAGCTGTGGGGGTAGGCATACCTCGTGAACCCATCTCATCTCCTATGAGCATTGGGAATGTGGTGTGACTCCTGGCACCAGATAGCCTAGGGGTCCTTCTTAGCCTGGCCACCCATTACCCTGTGGCTCTTGGCAAGTCCTTGCTTTCTGTGGGTTCTCCTTAGCTCAGTAATGGCTCAGATCCCTACCACAGGCTTGTGGGCCTGTGCCACAGTAGCCTAATGTCAGGCACTGGGTGCAGAGATGAAGCCCTATTCACTGATAGGAAGAACCCTGCTGTGCAGGTGGCCTGAGTCCTGTTTGGCTTGCTTGGTTTTCAGCCATGTTTCTGAGCCCACGCCCTAGCTGCTTGGCCAGTTCAGCCCCTCCTTATTCATAGACTACACCTGTTGGAACAGGACTGCATGCAGCAGTCTGCCCAGCCACTGCAGTGTTCTCTCTGATTTGCAGTCTTTTTAGAATGTCGAGGTTGCTGGGTGCTAGTGGCTCATGCCTGCAGTTTTAACTACTCAGAAGGCTGAGATCTGAGGACTGCAGTTTGAAGCCAGCTAGGGCAGGAAAGTCTTAATACTTTTATCTCCAATTAACCACCAAAAAGCTAGAAGTGGAGCTGTGTGGCTTAAGTGGTAGAGAGCCTTGAGCACAAAAGCTCAGGTACAGCACCCAGACCCTGAGCTCAAGCCCCGGATTAGCAAAACAACAAAAAATAACTTTGAGGTGATTGTCAGCATTTAGAAATTAGAAGGCTTTGAGTTACAATGTATTGACTTTTAAGAGACCTGTCTGGTTTGATGGGCTAGCATATTCCCAGCATCCTGGATCCCATGCCAGAGGTGGGTTTTTAGCCTGGATTTCAGGCTACTTCTCTCAGCCCTTGGCTGTGCCAGATCCGGAGGATAGGCCAGGAAGAGGGTGCACTCTAGGTGGGAGTGCATGCAGAGCAAATCCCCCACAGGTTCGTGCTGTTGGACTTTTGGGAGCTGTTAGGGTGGCCCCGAGCACCCTGCCTCTTGAATGGAACCTGAAACTATGTTCCATGGAGTATTTGTGCCTTAGAACTTTTCCAAAGCTCCCATGATGGCCTTGCTGCCCATCAAATGGGATCTGGGAACCTCTGGGCCACTTCATGTAGTCACTTGTCCCCGCAGTAGAACTGAGGAAGGGGGACTATATTAGGCAAAAAACTGTCTTTTGACCCTAGAGTGCTTTTGAGAGACCACATACTTGAAGGAGAACTCAGGGTTCAGGCAGCAGCATCTCTGCCCCTAGGTGGGATCCCTTTACTTTCAGGAATCCTCCTGCTACTTCACTTTAAGCACATCCATCTGGCTGGCCAGAGGCTTGATGTCAAGGCCTGTGTTCGGCTCAGATTTTGGCCCTTATCTCTGCCACCCTATGCAGGGATGAGGACTTGGGTGTAGGTCACCTGTAGGGGCCTTGGTAGTGGAGAGCAGCTGTAGTTCTGAGGTGGGTGGGGATGTATGTACGAGGCCTCCTACATCTGCATTTTTATTTGCACAAACCTGCCCCTCCCTGTTTCAGGTCAGGCAGCAGTTGAGTGAGATGAAGAGCCACGTAGAGGATGGTGGCGTGGCTGGGTCCCCGGCTATCCCCTCAGAAGTTCCCCCAGCCGAGCAGGACCCTATGAAGGTTAGGGTGGTGAGCTGGTACTTAGGCTTTTACTAACTGCCCCAGGTGGAGCTGTGTGGCTCTTCTGGCCCTACTGCTACTCTTTCCACCTGCGTGGCCTACTAAGGGCTGAGAAAGATGCAGAGCGAAGGGCAGGTGACCAAGCAGAGGCAGTGGGGGAGTGGGAGGTGCTGGTTCTTACAGAATGAGGGTGGCTGCAGTTTGAAGTCTGTGCCTGCTGAGCTGAGCGAGCAGCCTTTGGTTGTGTCCGCAGCCACAGAACGCTACTCCTGTTAAAATCCTTGCTGGGACATTTATTAGCAAGACATCTGCTCTACAGAGTTTAGAGCAAGGAACAGCTGCCAAAAGCTACCGCCAGAATGCAGGGGTGCCTGGGACAGCCTCATGCTCTGAAGCATCTTTCTTGTCCTAGGGTCTTGTTAGAAGCTTCCAGGGTCACGAAGGTCCCCTTGGCATCTTTCCAACCTACCAGCTTCTCTAGTAGGGCTGGAGCACTGTCTTTCCAAAGGAAGAGTACTGGGAACAACTCATTGGGGTGATGGGGGAAGAGGGAACCCTGGAAAGTAGCTAGAAGGTGGGGCCAGTTGTTTCAATCTGCTCCAGGTCCTTAAGGACCCAAGAGAGTACTAGATTCTCAAGTTGTTTATTGTGTCTCCACACAGCTGAACACACAGCTGGAACACACAGAAGCCATCTTGGAGGACGAGCAGACGCGGAGGCAGCAGCTCACAGCCGAGTTTGAGGAGGTCAGGCTCTGCCCATCGGCCCTCAGCCCATCACCTTTCAAGCTCAGTCTCCATGGAGTTAGTGGGTCATATCTGCCCCCACCACACACTTGCTCTAATCCTCTTGTTAACCTCCAGGAGTGGCTAGAAGCTAACCAATGACCGGCTTTCATCATACTGGGACTAGGAGCGGTAGTAGGGCATAGGTGGGCATAGGGTGGAGACAACTAACAGCAGGCACCTCATGGGTAGTCAGCATGCTGCGGTCAGGATCCTGCAGGACTCCTTGTCAGTGTAGGGTCTGGCTGGCTTGGGCTGTTGCCCATTAGACTTGGGATGGTTCCCCAATGCCTAGGCAGGCCTCAGCTGGGCTGGACAGCTGGTCCACTTGTAGGGTGTCTCATCCAGACCCTCCCCTCTGATAAGGCTCAGGCCACAGCGTGTCGATTACAAGAAGAATTGGAGAAGCTCCGAGCTGCTGGCCCCCTGGAGTCTTCAGGAACAGAAGAGGTCACACAGCTGAAGGTAGAGGATGAGCCTGGGGCACTTACTCAAGACTGTGGTCACTCTTAGCCTTGGATGTGGGGCAGTTAGTGGAAACCCATTCCTAGCCCAGGCACTGACTTTCCTCCTTGGCAGCCAAAGGGAATGAGTTGTCACATGGCAGTTGCTGCTCAGCACAGAGCAAATTGTTTTGGTTGGGCTAAGCCAGAGAGTTGTCTTGGCAGCACTGGTAGACAACAGGGCACAGGTAGTCAGCCCATGAAGTTCTCTGCTCCTCCCAGTTGACAGTGTGTCTGAGAGAGAGCAGAAGACCTCTTCTTTGTGTGCCTGGAAGAAAGATGCCTGGGTGTGGGGGCCCCATTTGCACAGGGGGAGGGGGCTACCTGCTGATCCCTTTCAACCCTTAACTCTCAGGAGAGACTAGAAAAAGAGAAGAAGTTAACCAGTGACCTAGGACGAGCCGCCACCAAACTGCAGGAGCTTCTGAAGACAACCCAGGAGCAATTGTCCAAAGAGAAGGACACAGTGAAGAAGCTGCAGGAACAGTTGGATAAGACAGTGAGTCTGCATGTTGTACTGCCTGGGGTTTGGCTCATGGAGGTGGGCAGAAGTCAGCTGCTAGTAGGGACCAGAGGAGGTGCTTAGAGGGGCTTTGGGAAGTAGGCCAAGAGAGGGAAACTGGAGTGGAGATGATGGAGATGGAGACTAATATGGTAGCATGGGCGCTAGCTAGTACACAGGCTCCTGCACCCAGGGAAACATGGTTCCTCAGCAAGAGGTCTTCATGGCCAGCTTAGTCCTCATCTTGCAAGGACCCCTCCTCAAGCCAGCCCCCTTCCTGCAGGACCACACATGCCCACTCACACTCCTGTATTCTTGGGTCTCTCCCATTCCACCCTCTGTCCCCAAGTCCAGACACACCTGTGGATTGATACAGCCAGCCTGGGTTTGCTTTCTCTCAAGAGCCTGGACCTGGTATAGGGTGAGTGGCTGTGCCTGGGCTCCTTGCCAGTCCTTCCCCTCAAGTGTCTGTTTTTGTTTGCAGGAGGATGGCAGCTCAAAGGAAGGCACCTCTGTCTGAGTCTCTGTGGAAACTTCAACTTACCAAAATGCCTTACACATTCCTTACAAATAGAACAACCAATACAGCGTCATCCAGGCCCAAGTTCCAGTAGCCCTGAGAAGCCATTAGAGACGAGAGTCTCTTAGAACAGAAAAAAAATACTCCAGACCCTCCAGTCTGTAAAAAACTTGTCACACTTGATAAACACTATTCCTGGGAGCAGCCCTGGACCACCTCGAGCGGACGCCAAAGCCTCATCGACTCTGCCAGGCCAGGGTGTTCTGGGAGGCCGGGACAGTAAGGGGGGAGCTATGTCAATCAGTGCAATTGCCATGTATTTCACAGTGGGGTGGGGGGCCGGGAAGTGGCCAGACTGGGTGGTGAGTTCTCAGAGGCTGCAGAGCAGACTGGAGGGCTAGAGCCCTTATCAGCAAGGCAACAGTCCCTCACCCCTGGAGTTGCCAAGAACTGATGTGACCTGGATGTTAATGCCATTAAAACCAACTTGTTGCCCGGCACTCTTGTCTTGTGTATTCTGCTGGCACTCCCCAGTCTGCCTATTGGGTCCAGGATGAGAACAGAACACAAGGGCCTGGCCTCAGTGGCAGAGTCCAAGCGTGGGTCTTGGCTTCTCTGAAGTCAGGACCAGCCACTGTGTAGAATGGGAGTAATCCCCTCCCCCACCCGTGACTCTTAACCCCCTCAGGCTCCAGTGCCTACCAGGTAGGTAAGGTAGGGCCTGCGACATTGAATGGTGATGTGCTCGTGAGAGCCTAAGGTTTCTGTAAGTAGAGGATGGCCTGAGCTGTCAGGTGAAGTGAGTTCTAAATGGTGGACCAAAGGCTTGGCCTGGGATGTGGGTAGACATCATGCCTCAGAAGAGGACAGCAGCTCACAGCTTGTCCTTTTGCAGAAGCCAACTTAGGTTCCTGTGATCCTCAGACCTATAAATGCCCTATGGCCCGTTGACACTTTGGCCAAGGGGCATGCTGGGAAGGGATGGTGAATCTATCAATCAGTCTTGTCAAGGGGCTGTCTCCACTAAGTACCAGTACTATTTATCCCTGCCAAGCCTCCTGATTAGCTGGATTAGACTGGGGCACAGCTGAGCCCTTGGATGGCAGTTCCTACAAGACAGCAGTATGTGAGAACGATACAGACTGGAGTGTACAACTGCTCTGGGGCCTTCTTAGTTGGGACCATGACTCATTCTAAGGTGGCTGACTTGGGAAAGGTCATTGTGCTTGTGTGCTCTTGGCCTTCATTTTTTTAGCAGCCCCCTATCTATACACACAGCATCTGCCAGAGCAGGGATGCTGTCCAGTGAGACCACAGAGCCAAACCCTAGGCCCTATACTACCCTGAGTTAGTGTCCTGGAAAAAGTCATGTTTAAGCTGGGGTTCACAAGGAAAGTACCTCCTGGGGACTGGTGCAAGTGAGGGGAAGGAGAGGCTGAAAAAGACTAAAAGGGCCATGAGGCTGTACTGGGAAAGGTAGGAGGAGTCACCCGGGGATTTTGAATAGTGTGAAGGTAACTATCATACCTCTTCTAACTCTGGGAGGCTGTGGAGAGGGTGCCCAGGTCTTGAGGCCGATACTGGTTTCTGGCTAGAGTAAGATGGGGTGGTTAGGATCACCTGATAAAAGCCTGTGCCCAGCTCTACTTGGCTTTTGGGAGCACCTGGTTCTCCATGTGAGGTGAACTGGCCCCTGGGGAAAGGAAGGCACCTCACCTCAAGCTACTGGGCCAGGTGCCATCTCATCACTAGTGTATGGCACATCACTGTACCGTGTGTGCGTAGCCTGGGTGAGTCAATCTTGGAGAAAGGGCTTGCTTTCTGGAGATCTAGATCTAAATTGATGAGCCCTAAGAAAATGCGGCACCTCAGTATAATCTGTTTGCCTTGCAAACACAGAACAGGAGGACAGGATGAAAAGGGCCATGGGAGAAGCAGAATTTCCATACAGGTGGCCATCCATATGGGTGGTTTGAGCCTGGTGAGTGGGGGCCAGACCTGTCCCCTGACCCAGGATTCATGAACTGCTACCACGATTGGAGGTGTGGCTCAAGTGGTAGAGCTCCAGCCATGACCAAAAAAGCCAAGTCATCCCTATGAGCCAGGAGCCTATGTTTACAATAAGCCTGTCCCCACACACCAGACCGCACACTATAAGCTCCCATCTGGGTAGATGCGTAGAATAGAGGGTGTTCATTCTGAGGAAAGGAGAAAAAAGGCACGGGATGCTGGGGTTACCAAGCTGCTGGCTTTTTCTGTTCACACATGGTATCAGCCCTACTTGCTCTTCAGACCACCAGTGGGAGCTGTGTCCACCTGGGGGGAGGAGACAAGATGAAGACAAGTACAATGCCCACCATGGGGCCCTAGAGGGCTGCCCTAGTAAAGTACCACTTAGAGGGAACTGCCTTCTGCACTTTAAGCTCTTGAAGCCCCGCAGCATTTCCCAGGCCAGCTAAGGGAGCCAGGCCTTTGCTTCAGTTAGGCCACCCCACCAGTCCAGCTCCCCCAGAGGAAGAGCCCTAGCCAGACAAAGAGCTGCAAGCTTGAGTAAGCTTGCCCTCATGCACCACCTTCCATATTCATACTCTTAACTTACTTATACACACATACTGCAACTAATGTCCCTTCTACCTACAGCCTGGCTGGAACCCAGTTCTAGAATCTGCAAATTTCAGAAATGAACTTGTATCCAATGATTCACCACAGAACAACAAACCTGTCAACAATGAAGTGTCCAGACTAAGGCAGTCATTCTGTAGCCAGGATACCACTAGCTAGCCTGTAACTTACCCAAGTCACTGTATCCATTGTATTCTCAGAGATTTGCATTGTCAAGTACACCTCACAGTCAAGTTCTGATTGTTTCTCAGAACCACAAGCAAATTACCATTCATACATTTATGTGTTAAACCTTTTAAGATGTAAATGTGTTTCCTAGAAGCACAGTATACTTGCACTTTGCTCCTAACCTGTGAGAACTCATCACACCAGACCCACCTGAATAGGAGTGCTGTCAGTACAACTCCTGGCTCTGACCTCAGCTACCTAAGACTTCCCCCAAAGCCCGAAATCAAACAGGTTCCAGATACATAAGTAACCATTAATGCCTTCCCCATTTCTAGAATAAGAATGTAAGGCTGTGTGTTTACAGACATGGGTAACTGCTTGAAACCTTACCCACAGCACCCCACCCTTCTCATCTCCCTTCCCCCCTCCCCCGTACCCTTCCCCTCCCTCACAAGCCTGGACCTCTGAAGCAGTGGTAGTGATGGATATGGGCCACATCCATAAGCTGCAGCACAGCTGCAGGGCTCCACTGACAGGGCTTGTTCTTGACAAGGCAGCCTTGGGTGGTGACACTTCCTTGGTGTACTGTTACCTACAGTCACTGAAAGCAGTGCTTTGCAGAGAAAAATAATCCACACAAATACATTAACTGAAACCATAGATTCAAGGGAAGTCTCAAATAGTGTAATTAGGCAAAATTCAGCAAAATAAAACACCATGAAGTGGGTTCTTGAAAGGGGTGGAGTGGGAGAAATGAAGACTAGGAAAATGTATTCAAGAATCAAATGTATATCCTACAAAATTAAGAAGAGTGAGGGCAGGAGGTATAGGGGAAGGACAGCTGAGACTGTTCAAAGGGGTGACATTAAGCAACATAGTGTATTCATAAAGTGCTTTGTTAAATGGCCACTTCTTTGTAAAACTACTTAAAGATAATAATAAAAAGAAAAAAAATCCAGGATGCGAAGCACCATTCTGGGCAACTCCGAAAGACAAGAAAGCACAATGCTCCATGTTTTGCTTCCCTAAGGCTCACATCTGGATACACATTTGGAATAAGGGGGCCTAGCATTTTCATTCATGCAGAGGAGCAGGAGCTGTTACCTTAACTGTCAGAAATACCATACAGAAAGCCAAATCCTTCATTCCCAATTCACACATGAATAATTACACAAGAATAAGTTAAAAATGCTTCCTTTATTACATAAAGCCTATATTGCTACTTCTAAGTTCAACTGTTTGTGCATCTCTACATTGTTCGGTGTGTCATGCCTGTGATGTTAAAGACAATCACTTCCAAGTGTCATTGGGGCAGTGGTCCCTTGTGAGTGTCATCCTCCATACCTGTTCCCCACCTGCACAGTTGACAGATTGCTCTAGGAAATTATGGTCTCCCAAGCCCCAGAGGAAACCAACAGCATTCTTCCACTCTTACTGCACCAGGTTCGGCACAGTTCTGAAGGAGACACAATGAAAGATTTTGCAAGTGTCCTGGCTTACCATACCAATATACTGTTTATCATTTTCATTGACAAAGCAGATTACAGTGGAGCCCTATTTGCATCATAATTAGTTGTTACAAGGCATTGCACATTCTTCTGAGGACATACCATGATTTCTAAGCTGCAAGGTCACTCACAAATGGTCTCCCAGCTAGTGAGGCTGCTAACTGCAGGTGCCATGCTGCCTCTTGCACTCCCACCTTGGCTTGGAGTTGTGCTTTGTAACATTAGTGTGAATTATAAGTAGACACAATTCTGAGGTGGACTTCCTTACACATTTGGTAGAACTAAAAGACTGCTTGACTTAAGTCTTACTGCTGTTAGTATATTAGTGTTGTTACACATTATGAAGAAAATTATATCCAAATATGCTGTTCAGGTCAATAAAGAATAGAGAATTAAAAATACTTTGAGCCAAAATTATAACCAGTTCTCCAAGTAAAAGTAACTGCGGTGGTTAACAAGGATGTAAAAATGTTCTTCACATGGCCTTGTGCTGTTTTGTGAACTGCATTATTAAAAATCCTGAGCATAATAAGCATCCTTATAGGTTAACTCATCAAAACAGGCATTTGGCCAGTTAAGAATTTAAGTTCACACTGATAAAACTTTAGACTCTAGATTTATTTAGGGCTATATTTGGACATGTTTATATTTATGTTACTCTAGAAGATGACAAGACAGCTCCCCCTCAGTAAGACCCTGGCCTAAATAAAATTTGCTTTACTTATATAGCAAGAGGATAATATTAAACATGGAAGCTTTCAATTTGTGGCACTGAATGATGATCTACACAGGGCACCCTTCAAAAGCTACAATTAAGGACCCGCCTAGCTTTTCAGCAATACAAGCTCGGTTGAGGTCTTCCGGCCCATTTGCTTGACATTCATGCTTTATACCTAGAGAGAAAAACAATAGTCCTATTTAGAATTATGGCAAGCAACTCAGTTATTTAAGATACCAGTGCTTTTAAAGGTCACTTCCAATATGGATTAACTGGTGTTTACATACCATGAAATCCCACATAGTAATGAGAAGAAATAATCTGTAACCACATGCATCAAAATAGATGACTCATTGATTTCAAGAAGCCAGAAAAAAAACCAACAGGTTTACATTCTGTATGATTTTTATATAGTACACAAAATCAGCTCACACTAACATAGGCACCCTGGCTTCCCTTGTATGTAAGGGGAAAAGGGCAGGAA